TTCCCCAGCCCACAGCTCCCCCACTCGGGTCTTCCAGGGCTGCCCCTCCTTCCCAGGGCCCTTCATTGACCACCCCTGTGGGAGGCTGCCCCTTGTCCACCTTCCACCCACCTACAGGGTCACTGCCGAAACCAGAGAAGGCCACGACTTCTCCCCCAAGCTCCCGGCCTTAGCTGACAGACGACACACATGCATGCTCCAGCCCCCCAACGAGCCCCGGGTGGCGGCATGCTGGCTATGGCGCCACTGACACACCCCCAGAAACACGGGGCTCCCTCCCTCTGCAGCCCAGCCTGATGGTGGCTGCTACTGTCATTATTATCACGGATGAGGAAGCTGAGGTTCCGAGGGGACCCAGTCCCCCAGGCGGACACAGCTGGTCGGAGGTATGGCTGGGACCTGTCCCCTTGGTGAGTCTGTCTCTGAGCCTCCCTGGCCACTGGACTCAAACTGCTGGAGGCCTGTGCTGGCTGAGGCCCAGGGGACATTGCGGGCGGCCGCCCTCTCTGTTCTCGTCTCGCCCCTTCCTCCTCTCTAGGACAAGGGACCTTCCCAGACCGCCTCTGGGGCTGTCTCTCCTTCCCCCAGCAACCAGGCCTCAGGAAACAAAGCTTGGTCCGGTCCGAAGTCCAAAGGAAAGCACTTCGGTTAGAGGTCAGAGGTCAGCCACACACCTGGCAGGCACCCCCTCTGCCCTGCAGTCACTCCCAGGCACTAAGAGAAATGAGGTTCCTGCAGGAACAGCCCTGAGACACCCTGAGACAGGGGCCTACGTGTCACCCTGTCATAGCTGGAGGGACTGGCAGAGGCCCCGATAGGGCTGCTGGGCTTGCAAGTGATGGCCCAGGCCCCGTGGCCGTCGGCAGGCTGAGAGCAGAGCCCAGGCTCCTGAGGAAGCCTGAAGACCTCCTGAAGAACAGGAGCTCGGAAGGCACCTGCGCGTGTGAACCATGGACTGGTAGTCGCCATAGCAACAATGACAACAACTCCGCCAGCACTTACTGGGTGTGCGCCAGTGCCCAGCACTCAACAGATGTGTCCTGTCTGATAACATTCCTAGACACACTGAGAGGCGGGACCTAAGAGAAGCCCCATTTTACAGAGAGGGAAACTGAGGCCACTCGCCAGAGCGAGGAAAAAGAGCTCATTCACTGTTCAAATCCCAAGCCATGTGACCCCTGACCCCTGGTTTTCCAAGCTGGTTTATTTTAAGCAGCAGCACCTGTTTTCCAAAGCAAAGCCTCCAAGGAGCCCGCTCTGTCACACTGAGAAGACCACATGCCCAGCCCTTACTTGTCTCTCACCGCTTCACAGACTCGAGACATTTTATAAGTGATGGGAAAACAGAGTTTTTATCTGCACTTGAGTTTTTCTAACAGTTTTCCGTTGTGTTTGGAATAAAGCGCTAACTCCCTGAGGTACCCTCGCCCACATATACTTCCCCTCCCCACTTCCCTCTCTGGGCTCTGGCCACTGTGGCCTCTTTTGTTGTTCTTTCCTCAAAACACGCTAAACTCTTTCCGCCTGCAGGGCCTCTGCCCAGGTGTTCCCTCTGCCTGGAATGCCCAGCAACTCTTCATGCCCAGGGCCTCAGCCCAAAAGTCACTCATGACTCACTCTGCAGCTTTGGTGTGGGACTGGCATAAGGATGGACACACAGGCCAACGGAGCAGAGTCTATGCACACAGATGACCACTGGATTTAGGACAAGGGTGTCACTGCAATCCCTAAGGAAAGATGGGTCACATCAGCAAATGGGACTGGAACAATGGGGTATTCCTATATGCCAGAGAAGACTTGTGACCCCTACCTCACACCATAGACAAAAACTAATTCAAGACGGATCCCAGTCCAGAATGGGAAACCCAGAAGAACAAAGCTTCTGCTCTGTCCTGCAGGGTCACTAGGAGTCAGAATCAACTAGGTGGCAGTGAGTTTAGTTCATCAAAACCAAAATGACTAGTTGCCATAGAGTCCAATTCATGGCGACGCCCACGTGGGTGAGAATAGAACTGTGTTCCACAGGGCTTTCCATGGCTGAGTTTTCAGAATTAGGTTGCCAGCCCTTTCTTCCAAGGCACCTCTGGATAAACTCAACCCTACAAACGTTTGCACCACCCAGGTATTCCAAAGATCCCATTAAAGAAGGCTACCCGCAGGGCAGGTGAAAGATTTACAGTGGAAAGGATGCATATCCAGACCAGACTGACCAAAATATATTTAAAAAAAAAAAAAAAAAAAAAACCACTGCTACAAATCAACTGAAAAAAAAAAAGACAAACAACAGACAATTCAGTAAAAATAACAGGCACTTCACCAAACACTAAATTCCAATGGCCCCTATAAACATATGAAGGGTGCCGACCTCAGGAGTCACAAGGGAAATGCACATTTGAGCCGCAAGGAGACACGAGTCCACACCCACCAGAGTGCCTAAAGCAGAGGCTCTCAGTACCAGCTGGGGCGAGACCCTGAACACCTGGAGCCCTCTGATACTGTGGGGGGGCGCAAAATGGTACAGCCACTCTGGAAAACAGGCTGGCAGTTTCTCATGAAGTTAAGTGTGCACTCACTGTGTGACCCAGCAGACCCACTTCCAGGAGTCTTCCCAAGAGAACTGAAAGCACACGTCCACACAAAGATCTAGACGCAACGTCCTGTCTGGTTCGTCATCACCCCAAAGTAGAAACAAGCCCAACACGCGTCGACAGGAGAACGGACAGACCAACCGTGGAACATCAGCACAACGGAACGCAACGCTGCCTGGGCTGGCCGCCTCTCGCGATCGGTTAAGGATCGGCCGCTGGGATCCACGGGCCGACTTTCAGAAGTGGATTCCTAGTCCATCTTAGCTCAGCAGCTCTGATGAAATCCACGGAGCACCACACAGACACGCAAGCCCCCACCGACAGACAAGCAGTGACCGTGCACGAGCTGGGAATGGAAGCAGGGTCTCCCGCGTGGAAGGGGGGATCCTAACACTGAACCACCACATAGAATGTTGTTGTTATGTGCCATCAAGTCCTACCTGACTCATAGCAACCCCTCCTTGGGTTTCCGAGGCAGTATCACTACGGAAGTAGATTGCCCCATCTTCCTTCCAAGGAGTGGCTGGTGGGTTTGAACCGCCAGCCTTCTGGTTAGCAGTCGAGTACCTTAGCCACTATGGTTCCAGAGCTCCTACCACACGGAGTGGAGTACTCCTCAGCAAAGAAAAGGGACAAACCACAGATGCACACAAGGGCACTGAGCCATCTCCACCTTGCTGGGTGAGAGGCCAGGTGCAGGGCGTCAGGCTGGGATCCCATTTACTCAAAACTCAAGAGCAGGAAACTCTAATCCCCAGGATAGGAGTCAGTGTGTATGTGGGGGGTGTGGGCACTGGCTTGGAGGTTGTGCACAGGAGCCCTCCAGGGCGCAGGGTGCCCCAGGGGTCCGAACGTGGCAACGCATAGGATGCACTCGGTGCATTTCAAGGCATGCCTGGTACACCACCAAGAAGCTTCAACAGAAGGTTGCACTAGAAGTTTCTCTGCTGACCCCACCTCCCTGCCCCCCACCAAACTGGGGTCCCTCACTTATCCTTTCAGAGGCCACTTGCTTTTCCTGGATAGCACATATCACAATTTATAATCCCATGTTCATAGATGGGTTTATGCCTTCAAGACCCTCCCTAGAACACCAGCTCTCCCCGGCTCCAGACATGCCCCGGACACAACATAGACATTCCATCAACACATCAAACCAACGAATGAATGAATGATACATCAAATCAACAAATGAATGAATAATACCGGTTTCCTACACCCAGAGCACAAGCCCCCAGCACACAGTAGGACCACAAACAAAAAAAACAGGCATTCAATAAAAGGCACATGATGCGGCCGAGTCAAGGCTGGAGAAAGTCTGGTGCGTAGAACACGGTGACCTTTCAATCTCAAGTGCAAAGCTGGAAGTAAGGTGATTGCAAAGGAAAAGGACATTTTTGAAACGTGAAAGAAAATAAAACGTTGATGAAGTGTGGGAGTGCACGGAATTGCACAGCCGTTCTGAGCCCTGCAGAAACGCCAGTCCTCTCTGTCAAAATCAATTGGATCAGGTTTTCCAAGGACCGAGCACCATCAGCCACTAGCCTGCGTGACAGCTGCGTTCAAATCAAAAAGGATCCCTGGACCTTCTACAAAATCCCCGACCAACACTCCTCAGAATGGTCAAGTTCATCAAAACCAAGTGAAGCCTGAGAGACTGCCTCACACTGGACAGGACCCCGAGGAGAGGACCCCGAGGAGACTTGTCAACTAAACGTTATGTGTCCTGGTACACTACCAAGAAGCTTCAATAGAAGGTTGCACTAGAAGTTTCTCTGCTGACCCCACCTCCCTGCCCCCCACCAAACTGGGGTCCCTCACTTATTCTTCCAGAGGCCACTTGCTTTTGGATGGATCCTGGGACGGAAAAAGGACATTAGGGAATAGCTGGAGAAATTCCAAGAAACTGGGATTTAGTTAACAGTAATACATCAGTTTGTCGCCTCAGCTGTGACAAATGTACCATTCTGCTGTTATTGGCCACAGAGGAGATGCTTATGACTCACTAGTGACCCACGTGTGCAGAGCAGAACAGCATCATAGGGTTCTCAAGGCTGTAACCTTTCGAAAAGAGATCACCAGGCCTGTCTTCCAAGGCGCCTCTGGGTAGGTCTGAATCGCCAACCATTTGTGCCTCCAGAGATGCCTAAAGGCACCACAGCAATGTCCAATGTTACACACACACACACACACACACACAGGGTGGATACAGACAGGAACTCACAGCACCACCTTACTATCTTTACACCTTGTCCATAAATCTATCAACCTAAAACAAAGTTTATCAAACAAACAGGAGTCCTATGCACTGGGCACTCTATGGCCACCTGCCAGAAGAAAGCTGTCTCCACACTCAGCCACACGGTGACGCGCGCTCACACAGAGCATGGGCCTGCCCTTCGGATCGCTCACCTTGGGCGGGTCGAAGAGCTCCAGCATGCGGCCGCCGTCGGGGCCGCCGGCACACCGCAAGGCCAGCCGACCCCGCTGCCAGCGAGCCCCACTGTCCATGGAGGCCTCGTCGGCCAGGCTGTAGCGCAGCACAGCCTCCTTGACCACCTCAGGCGGCGGCTCCCGGGCCAAGCTCCAGGGCAGGAGCTTCCTGGCCAGGCCGGGCCGGCCCGGGACCTCGCTCGCCTCGCCGGCCGCACAGGCTCCAGGGACTCCAGGCAGCTCCCCAGCTGAGCGGCGGCGGAAGATGTGGCGCAGGCTGCGGCGCAGCTGCTGGAACGCGCAGGGCCCCGGCGGCCGCGGCGGGGCCAGCTCCTCTGAGCTGCGCGCCTTGGGCAGGGTGGGGGTGGCGGGGCACGCTGGGCCCCCCTCGGTCTTGGACGCCGGCCCGCGGCCCGTCTCACGGTAGTCCCGCGCCGGGGGTCCAGGCGCCCGACCCTCGCGCACCTCGCGGCAGAAATAGCGCTGAAAGAAGTCCGTGAACTGCAGCGAGACCAGCTCGGCGCGCAGCGGCGCGTGGTGCGGGTGGTCTCGGGCGAAGAGCCAGTACTGCCGGGCCAGCTCACGGGCCGTGGCCACTGCATGCAGCTCGCAGAACTCGCTCCAGCCTCGGGGCGGCGGGGTCGCGGCTGGCGTTACGGAGGACAGGGCGGCAGAGGTCGCGGAGGATACGGAAGAGGAAGCCGAGGCAGGCTGCAGGGTGGGCCCGTTCATGGCGGAGATCGAGCGGGAGCGGCCAGACTGAAATACACAAAGAGGGCGCAGGAGTGAGCACACAGGAAGCAAGCAAATGGCTACTCACAGGAACAGCCAGCCCATCGTCAAAAACAAAAGCACCAACAAAAGCCGGTGCACCTGAAGATGTGGTGAAATAGGTGTTTCCCTATAATCTCGCTGGGAAAAAAACAACCTACTGCCATCTAGTCAATTCTCATTCACAGCGACCCTATAGGACAAAACGGAACTGCCCGACAGGGTTTCCAAGGCTGTAAATCTTCAGGGAAACAGACTGCCTCATCTTTCTCCCACAGAGCAGCTAGTGGGTTTGAACTGCTGACCTCTTGGTTAGCAGCCCAATGCTTTAATCACCCACCCATTAACCCACTGCCGCGGCGTTGATTCCGACTCATAGATCCCACCACTGGGATTCTGAGAGGGTAAATCTTTATGGAAGTAGATTGCCCGGTCTCGCTTCCACGGAGTGGCTGGTGGGTTTGAACCACCAACCTTCTGGTTAGCAGTCAGATGCCGTAGGCACTGTGCTACCAGAGCTCCTTACTTTAATCACAGCGTATATTCTGGAAGGCTAGAGTGTAGACCCGATAACTCTGTTTTTTTAATTGTGATTTGAGTGAAAGTTTACAGAGCAAATTCACTTTCCATACAGCAGCTGACATGCACTTTGTCTCATGACATTGACTACAGTTTCCCACAATGCAACAGCTCCCCTCCCACTTCCTCCCCATAGTTACCTCTTCCCTGTGTCCTTCCCTCCATGCACTCCTGGCCCCTGAGCTGCAATAACTCTACTTTTAAATATTTGATTCCACAGTAAAATATTCTTGCTCATTTGGACAGACAGGCATACATGAGGACACACTCTGCAGACATTTCCTGCCTCAGGGTTTATCATGGGAAAAGTTAGATACAATCTAAGTGTCTGTCAGTAGAGGGCTGGTGAGATAAACTGGGGTACATCTGTAGGAACATTCTGCAGCAGTTGGAAGGATGGATGATCTACGCTGCCACTTCGGAGAGATCTCCAGGATACAACGATAAAGTGGAAAAGCAAACCAGAAAACAATACAAACCGTCCATCTATATACACAAACACATAAAACTAAACCACCAATTTGTAAGTAAATGCTCATAAGTATATTAAATACAGGCAAGAAAAGCCTGGCTGGAGCAAAGCCATGAGAAACAGGTGGCCTATGGGGAGGAATCAGAAATGGGGTACAGGGGAAAGTAACCAAGGAAGTCCATTAACTACTTCTCTATAGAAAATACAGTTAAGAACAGGGATTCTGGGCCCTGGGTTCAAATCCCATGACCACCATTTACTAGAGCGTGATCTTGGGCAAGTTATATAATTTCTCTCAGCCTTAGTTCCCCCCCCCCGCCCTGTAAATTGGGGACCATGCCCGTACTACCTCACAGAGCGTTATCAGGATTGACCAAGTTAATACATGTAAAGGCTTTAGAACGTGGTTGATGTTTAAGAAAAGCCAGCTGCTGTGCTTGTGGAAACCTGGGTGGCAGTGCCAACGGTCAGTGTGCGCACCTTCTCACTGAAAGGATGGGGGTTCTCGCCCACCTGGAGGCATCTTCAAGAAAGGCCTGGGAATCTGCTTCTAAGAAATCTGCCATTGAAAATTCTGCGGAACAGGGAGCAGGTGGTCAGACCTGTGGGCTCACAAGGGACACCAAGCTCTATTGCACAGTTCTACTTGGACACGGCCAGCTACCCGGAGGGAGTGAGTGGTCAGACCTGTGGGCTCGGGACCATAGTCGCAGGGGACACCAAGCTTAACTGGCATAACATACTACACAAAACATTGTTCCACATCCTACTTTGGCGAGTAGCAACCGGGATCTTAAAAGCTCGCAAGTGAGTAGCGACTGGGACCTTAAAAGCTAGGAAGCTGCCATCTAGATGCAACAACGGGTCTCTCCTCGTCAAGAAGAAAGAAGAAAACCAAAATTAATGGAAACAATCAGTCCTAGCGACTGGTACACCATCCGATCTGCAACCTATACAACTATGAGACCAGAAGAACTAGATGGTGCCCAGCTACCACTGCCATCCACTTGTAAGGGATGTAGGAGATCCTGCATAAAGAGGGAGAACAATGTGGTACAAAACTCAAAATCATTTAGAGGCAAAAAAAAAAAAAAGAAGGTGGGGACCAGGTTTGCTGGTCCAATAGAGCCTGGTGTAACCACTGAGACTATGGCCCCTAGCTGCCCTTCAGGTCTGGAATTGAACCCACAACTGTGGTTTCCAGCCAAACAAAGTACAGGCATGTGAGTTAAACATTTACCTCAAGTAGACACACGCCCTAGAGAGAACAATCATGGGAGAAGGAAGGGCTGCTTATGCACAGGGAGATAGCTCAGGGTGCAGAAGAGTATGAAGGGATGGACACTGGGAGGAGGTAACTATGGGGAGGAAGTGGGAGGGGAGCTGCTGCATTGTAAATTTTGGTCAATGACATGAGACAAAGTATATGTGAACTGCTGTATGAAAAGTGAATTTACTCTGTAAATCTTCACCCAAATCCTAATAAAAATAAAATTAAATAAATAAATAAATAAAAAGCTCGTAAGTGGCCATCTAGGTGCGACAATGGGTCTCTCCTCATCCAGAGCAAAGAATAATGAAGAGAACTAAAGACTCATGGAAACAATTAGTCCTAGCGACTGGTACACCATGTGATCCGCAGCCTATACGACTATGAGACCAGAAGAACTAGATGGTGCCTGGCTACCACGGTCAACCACTCGGAGGGGGATCTATGTAGGAGATCCTGGATAGAGTGGGAGAACAATGGGGAACAAAACTCAAAATCATTTAAAAAAAAAAAAAGGACCAGGTTTGCTATTCTGAGAGAGCCTGATGGAACCACTGAGACCATGGCTACTGGCTGCCCTTCAGGTCTGGAATTGAACCAATCCTGTGGCTTCCAGCCAAACATAAGACAGGCAGATGAGCTGAACATTTACAATAGGTAGATACACTCCTTGGAGAGATCAATCATGGGAGAAAGAAGGGCTGTGTATGCACAGGGAGACAGCTTGGGGGGCAGGAGGGCATGGAGGGAAGGACACAGGGAAGAGGTAACTATGGGGAGAAGTGGGAGGGGAGCTGTTGCATTGTGGGAAATTACAGTCAATGTCATGAGACAAAGTGTATGTGAGCTGCTGTATTTCACCCAAATCACAATAAAAAGAAAAAAGAAAATTCTGTGCCGCACAGTTCTACTTGGACACACCTGGAGTTGCCATGGGTCAGATTTGACGGCCACTTGTTTTGTTCGTTGTTATTGGTATTTATTGAATGTTACCAGCGTGTACTATTGGTATCGGTAAAAATTAACAAATAAAGAGGAATGTAGTGAGAAGCCTCCCAAGAGGGACCAAGGTATTTCCTGCCCTGCGGGGGACATCTCAGAGCAGGTAGAGACCGTCCCCTGTGCACCCAGATGGGGCTGCCATCTCCTCCCACCCTGGCAGGTCCCTCCTGAGGCACCACGTGGTCAAAATGACACCAAACGCCCCATGCACTGCTGTGTGCGGTGCCCAATGGCGTTGGTCATGCTGGTCACCCCCCAGAACCTTCCTTCTGCGCAACTCAGCCTGTACCTGGCCTCCCCTTTGCCAGCCCTTCAGGAGGGAGACAAGAGCACAAAGCGAGGCACTTAGAGGCCCCCCACAGGGGTGTCCTGAGTCCATGGTGCCCTCAGGTCACCCCCAGTCGCTGGGAGGCGGTAGCAGTGGGCCGTACAGCTGCAGAAGCCCACTGGCCGGGGTGTGAATCCTGGCTCTGTCGTCTCTCAATCACCCCTCGAGGAGGGCTCAGAGCCCACTGTGTGCCAAGGAGCCTGGGTGGCACAAGGGCTTTGTGACTGAACAGCTAACCCAAAAAGGAGCCCTGGTGATGCAATGGTTAAGCACTCACTGCTAAGTGAAAGGCTGGCGGTTTGAACCCACCAGCAGCTTGGAGGTAAAAAAGCCTGGCACTCTGCTCCCGCAAGTATTTACAGCCCAGGAAACCCTATGGGACCGGTCTACTCTGACCTATAGGATCACTCGGACTCAGAATCAACTCAATGGCACACAACAGCTAAGCTAAAGGTTGGTAGTTCAGAACTACCTAGTAGTTCCAGGAAGAAAGGCCTGGGAAACTGCTTCCATGGAAGATTAAAGCCAAAACGACCCTGTAAGATTCTACTGTGTAACACACGGGGGCGCAACGAGGTAGGGGACACCGCAGAGAACCAAACAGACAGAGCCCCCTGCCTTCCTGGAGGGCCAGCCTATCCTCTGGGCACCTTGGTCTCTGCCGCCTGTCTAGGCCTTGGTCTAGGCCCAAGCCTTGGTCTCTCTTTCGCCATGTGGAGATCAGCAGGGCATCCGCCCCATAAGGTGGGCTGAAAGGCATCCCTGAAACAGGGCTCAAGGCAGAGATGTGAGCCCAGAAATTGGGGTTCTTTCCCCATTAGGCTGGGCAGACATGCTCCTCATACTGGCTGCATCCAGGCCTCAGTCCAGTCAGCTCTCGGCTGTGTCCACACTCACACCACAGTCGGCTTCAGAGAAGCCCTTCTTGAGCCCATCAGCTGAGCTGAGGACTGAACCTGTCCTTCAGCATGGGGGGCCCACGTCATCACGCAGGATTTGTGATGCTTTACCGAGGCACCATCTCTTTACGGGACTGTGAGCTCTGTGAGACCAGGAGCCACTCCTTGCTGTCTCCAGACCCTGGCACACAGCAGTTCAATAAATGCTTGCTGAACGAATGAACGCACCAGCGTAAGAGGTCAGATGGATGTGCAACCCCTGGCTCTTCCAGTAGACACATGGTGGCCACCAGGCCACCTCTCCCTGGGCTCAGCCTGGCTAACTTAGGGGCATCCTGGGCCTGTGCCCATCCCTGTCGCTTGGCCTGGAACACCTGTCCTTGCCAACCCTTGTATGTCAGCATCCAAAAC